GCTGATTTCCACTTCTTACCAAGAAGTACCAAATTTACCCTCCTGCCTGAAACAATTGGGGGGGGGGGGGACCAAAACATACGAAATATTTTTCAACACACTGGACACCAGGCAATAGAAACCTTGATCCTGAGCCAAGTGTGGGAGGCACTTAAGGAGGCAGAAGCAGGTGGATCTCTCTGAGTTCCAAGCCAGCCTGGTCTACATAACATATTCTAGGCTAGTCAGGGCTACATAGTGAGACCCTGTCTCAAGTAAACCAAAAGGAAAAAAAAGGCCATGATTCCTAATAGATGGGCAACTAACAACTGCCTCAACTACTGTCTTGAAGGTCTCCAAGCCCATGAACAGGGAAGAAGAAACCTAGAGCTGAGTAGGTGGAACTGAGCCTGGAGGCAACATAGCTAGAGTACACAGGGAGAGTGCCTTCTAGGAGAGAGCTAGAAAGACAAGACTGGAAGATTGGAAAGTGTTACCTTGCTCTTCAACCTAGTACTTGTCAATACATCAGAGTGTGAGGAAACTAGAAGAGGCCAGTGAGAGAACTGCCAGAAAGCATCTCAGGTAATAGGTCCTGCTCCCAGCAACCAAAGTACTGAGAAGAGTTTGACTCAGTCTTGCAACAAAGTAGTACTGTCTAATAAACTAACAAAATGCAAATGCAAATCCTGAAAAGATGAAGCTGTTTCTGAGTACTTTACATGCATCCCGGAACAAAGCTCAAGATTTTTATATTTAATAGAATATAAAAATATCCAGTATCAGGGCTGGAGAGATGGTTCAGCAGTTAGGAGCACTAGCTGCTCTTGCAGAGAGGACCTGGGTTCAGTTCCCAGCACCCACATGGCAGCTAACAACCATCTATAACTTCAGTTTCAGGAGACTGGATGCCCTCTTCTGGCTTTTGCAGGCCACTTACATGTGGTATACTTACACATAGGCAAACACTCACACACATAAAATAAAATTAAATAAGTCAAAATATCCAATATTCAACAGTAAGGTAGAATTTCAAATATATGATATTAAATAAAAATTATCAGAATGCAAAAGGACAGCGTAATTCATGAGAAAAACCACTCAAAACCAATTCAGTGAAATGAAAGACTAAATTAGTAGACATGGTAGATTACAACTGTATTCTATATGGTCAAAGAATCTAAAAAGACAAACATGAAAACTCTGAACATGGGAACTATAAAAGGCTAGCTTTTCAGATTACACTATAATATCTGAAATTAAATATATGCTGGATGGGATTAAGAGCAATGTAAACATAATAAAAGATTAACAACCATCACAACTGATTATCCAAAAATCAAAGGGAAAAAATATTGAACATCAATTACCCTTAAGATAACATCAAAGAACCTAATACACATGTTACTGGACTTCTAAAAGGAGGAAAGAGGAATAAGTATAATATCTATGTTACATAATAAATATATGTATGTATTATAAATAGATGTATATAATATAGACATATGTATTTGAAGAAATAATGGCTGAAAGTTTTCTAAATTTGATAAAAGTACAAGCTCCAGATTCAAGAAGCTCCACAAACTGTAAGCGCAAGGAACACAAAAATGTGTAATTTTGTTTGCAAAGCACTCTTGCTCACAAATTCTAGAGCCAAATGTAATCTAGAAACTAAATTAAGGCTTGTCTTTTGGTTAATTAGTCTTCTATCATACAGAGTTTCAACAGGCACTTTGAGTACATTAAATCACAGTCATAGTCAACTGAGTAAACTGTGAAATAGGAATTCTAACATTTTCAAAACTGGCAAAATACTGTTCTTAAAAATAATGTATTTTGTTGCTCTATCACTTAAGTAATTCATTAAAATACATTTTTACTGACCCAATTTTAAGAAATTATTCTTTCAAAATTTTTTATTTTTTATTTTATGTGTATGAGTGTTTTACCTGCATGTGTGTAAGTACACTCATGTTGTGCAATGCCCACAAAGGCCAGAGAGGGCATCAGATCCCCTGGAACCAGAGCTACCAATGGGTGCGTGCTGGGAATTGAACCCTGGTCTTCTGCAAGAGCAGTCAATGTTCCTCACCACTGAGCCATCTCTCCAGCCCCAACAAAGTAATCTTTTAAGAAAGCAAACACATTTCTTTTGCCTTAATCTTCTTTTTGTTTATGTAGGTCATTCAGAACAGAATTAGGACACTAAAAAAACAACAACAACAAAAAAAAACTTTTTTAAAGAAACTGAGAGGTGGAACTGAAAACAGAAGTAGATTTGAGGTTTGGAAAGTAACTAGTCCTCCCTCCCAAGAAAAAAAAAAAAAAAAAAAAAAACGAAGACAACCAGAGGGGAAAAAACACCCAACGTCTGACAACTATGATTCTGGAACATCACTACTTTCAAAATACACATAGATATTTTTAAATAAAAGTGTAAACAAAGTGAAAACAAGTTAATGTGCTGTTTTTAGCTTTTCAGATAACTACTGGGAAAAAAGTAAACTTCAAAACAAGTAAGCATGCATTCAAAAAAGGAATAGTAAATGAAAAATTAATATATTTTCCTATTTCTGTAAACACACCTATTTTTTAAGATTCAGCACACAACATTCGAATTTTCCTGCCTAAAAATAACCAAGTAAATAGATATAAGGGAATAATCCTGAGTATCTACCATCATGGCTACCCTTCCTAAACAGCTGGTTAGTATTCTACCATTTTTCTTAGGAAAAATGAAAAAAGAAAAAGTGATTCCATGAGTATCTGATAAAAATATATTGATCCTGGAAATAATATCTATACTCTTTTCCTGAGGAAAAAAACATATACACATATTTAGATTACAGACATATTTATCTGTACCCACACAAAAACATTTTTGGACAAAGTATAATACTACAATATCTCCTGTAGAGTTAACACATACATGAAAAACAGTACACAGATTTCTGAGCACAGAAACTACAAATCCCTGAGCACATAGAGAAGTTAGCACAGAAACAATCTTTTAAGTATTTGACTTCTAACCTCTTAAAAATAGAAAAATCTAAACAGGAAATTTCCAGTAAAATATAGAAGTGATATATGTAAAATTATCAGAGCAGAGTAGTATACAAACCCTCTAATAACAAGTATTTATTTATAATGTATCAATTTCCCATATATATAAAAGAGGAATATCTTCGAATCAAAAGTTAAAATGGAGTCCATTTATTTCACCTACTTAGGTACTGACTGGTATGCTTTCAATATTCAATTCCTATCTCAGAAACACATTCCTACTGAACAGAAATTCAGTACTGTAAATGAAAAGACAAAGACTTGCCTAATTAATCTAGCTGTCAACACTTTATTTACATATACCTCTAAAATACATTTTAAATGAGTCCCCAAATATTAAGCAATCTAATCATTCATCAATAACACAATAAGTCATCTAATCAGACTTAGAAATTTAAACTGCTTGCAATAAAAGTCTTCCTGACCAATCAACAATGTTGACTGAATTTCTCTCTTGTGAAATACTAATATTACTTAGTCCGTTTCAAATTTTGAGCCATTTATTCGTAGACATGAAGGTTAATAAGAAATATCTCTACACATAACTTCAGTTAAGCCTCTTTTTTCTCCTAGAAGCTAGATTTCTCTGACATTTTACCAAATTATCAAAGGTGACACAATGTAGTTTGAATTTCCGCACTAAAGACAATGACAATACAGACAGGGTTGGCAGAATTAAAGATGAAAAGTTTCCCAATTTTAACAGGTATAATTATTGGGTTGTGATAAATGGGAGGGGCACGAAAGCTTAGCACTCCTTCCAGGATCCAATTCTTAAACCACCTGATTTTTCTCCTGACCAAAGAACCAAATTAAGGGCTTAAAACGTGAGATCTAAGTTCAACGTAGGTTATTTTTTTTTTCCTAAGAAAACAAGTTGCCTAGAAAAGAACACTTACATTTGGAGCATGACCTGGTTCAAGAACACTCCATCCACCAAAGCCACATACTCATCCAGGTTGGTCGCATTTCCTGCAGCCAGAGGTCCAAACGTTTTAACCTAGAAGAGAAAGATCATCACGGCGTGAACGCCCACCTCCTCTGCAGCCGCAAATAATACAGCAAAATATACAATAAAGGACATCCTGCTTACCCAAGTGACCAGGGGGCTGGTCATGAACTGCTCCAGAAGGGGAGTAAAAATTTCGTTCTCCATCTTAACAGATTATGTATTTGGAAGAGGAAAAAGAAAAAAAGGAACTACCACAAAAACACGCTTAGGGAATCGGTCGCTAAACGCTGAAGAAATAAGAAGAAATCAATGAAAGTCCATTTCGGCAAGGGAGGAAAATCCCAGCCAAGAGGGGGAGGAATCCTCCCTCCTCAAAAAGCCCCGGGGGAAACGCTCCCAAACCCAGTGCAGAGCCCCGGACGGTCCCCGCGAGCCGCAGCCTGCGCTGCCAACGTCTGCCCCGGGCGAGGAGGGGCAGAAAACCGGCATCTGGAGGACGCCGCCGCCAAGAGGTGCCGGGGCACAAGACAAAAAGCCCGTCGGGCTGCCCAGCTCCCGGACCCAGCCGGCCGGCGAAAGCCACCGAGGAATTAAGCCCGGCGCGGCTCGAGCACCGCGGGGTCTAGAGCTCTCGGGGCGGCCGGGCCGGACCTGGGCGCTGCGCTCTGCGCGCTCCACCCGCCGCCGGGCATGGGGCGGCCGGCAGCGCCCAGCGACCCGCAGCCCTCACGTCAGGCGCCGCTCGCTTCAGGCGCGGCTCGGGGCGCTCAGCATCCCTCCGCCGCCCTTGCGCGCTCGCCCGCCTCGGCGCCCTTCCTCTGCCGGAGGCCGGCGGCTGCGGTGCGTGTGGCTAACCGTTCGGCCGCCCACGCCGCGCCAGCCTCCTCCAGCTGCCTCAGCGACGCCCGGGCGCTCGACCTACGCGCCGCAGCCGCCCCTCCTTCCTGTGGAGCTGTGGAGGAGCGGGAGTAACGGCCTCCGCACCGCAATGCCGCAGCACTCCCGCCTCCCGCGGGCCCTTCCACGCGGCTCCCTCCGCGCCCGTATCCTTCCGCCGACTCCCCGCCCTCCCGCGCCGCGGCCTCTGGATGCTGGGAGAAGAAAACCGCTGCATGAGCGCGCCCCCGAGCGCGCGCGCCCGCCCTCCCCGCCGCCGCCCAGATTCAGGAGGCCCTCGGACGCGCGGGCGCTGCAGCTGCTGCGGTGGCGGGCATCGCGCCCGCGTCCAGGACGGCTCCCGGGTGAGGGGGCGGGGATGGGCCCGGCCGGGAAGGGTCTGTCTGCTCGCTCCAGCCTAATTATGGCTTATTTCCTCCTGGAGCGCCTTCTTTGATGTGAAGGAAAGGGAAGGAAACCCATCTCTTAAACATGAGGGATGCAGACGTCCTTTTTCGGACAGTGTGATTTGATCCGTTAAACATGCTTTCTCGCCAGCAAAAAGGAATAGGAAAATTGACTGCAGCAAATGGCAGAGACTTGAGGCACACAGACGGCTTGGGAGGGCGGAGGACGGGGTTGTTTTTGTTTTTCCTTCTTTCCCTTCTTTAAAAAAAAAAATCCAGACCGCTAAAAGCATAAATATTCATCAGAGTCGCAAGTTGAAATATAGTAGGATTTTAAATAACTAAAGCTGTCCTTCACCATGGCATTCCCTGACTGGAGCAATAGTGATACAGACTTTTTTTTTTGACTATTTGGTTGCTGAAAAATATCCAAATAAAACTAAAAGGTACAAGAGAAAATATTTGTAAGTCATCCAAGTTAGGTGACAAACATATATTTGTCAAAAATATTTGTTGTGCACCAATGGAACCGTTAAAGTTCCCTAGCAAAATGAAATGTCATTCTTATCTCCAAAGATCTTTTCCCCAGGATAAAATGGGAGATAAAAAGGGAGGTATAAGAGAGAGAGAGAGAGAGAGAGAGAGAGAGAGAGAGAGAGAGAATATAGCATTATGGTTTTACAATGTGTGCCGTGTTCATACATACAAATCTGCTTTGGATACTTATATATTTAAAATTAACAGTAAGAAATGTTTTGTCGTTCACTGAATTAATGAGCAGTTTCTTCGAGCTTGACCCTACATGTCCGATGGCAATACTCACCAGCTGTGTGAGCCTAGATGCATCACTGAGCCTTTCTGTACTTCACCTTCTTCATATGTAAAGCAAGGAAAACAACAGGGTTCAATTTAACAGCAACTCATAATAAATGTTCTGTTGCTGTGATTGATGTTGCTTTTTGTCATTAGACACCCCAAATAAGACAGCTTTGGGAAAAACTTGAAATATAATCTCTCTGCTTTAGTTGTGTTATAGAAGGAAAAGTCTTGCTCTGAGGAAGAGGGAAACAAACACCCTCCCAAAATTATCTTCATTTAAATTAAGATGCATTCATGTGACACCAGTGGGGTCTAGTGCAGCCTTGCATTACCCTGGCTTATACACAAATCTGAGTCATCCTGGTTTCAAGCAATCTTTCCCCTCTGCTCTTGCTGACTCTTTCTTAATCACTGTTCTTTATTTGGTGAGTGAGATGCAGCCGGGAGCTGGTATCAAGAAGGAAGCATCGCCTTCAGGAACAGCCGGTATCTGACATTTCTACTTCTCTTTGTAATTCCTCAGAAGACTGACACCATGAAAGTATAAATGCTTGTACTAGAATTTATCCTGAGACAGAACTGCTTCATTCCTAAATGAAAACCCACAAAGAACTGACATCAACTACATCAGGCTAAGGGCGTCCTGGTCACTGTTGACTGAAGGGTTAACACAGGAATAACATATTAACTTAGCATTGTTTATCCAATTTACATTTAGTATCCAACCCATCCCTCACAGAAATCTGGATTCCCCTCTGGAACCAGATGGCCTCAGATGCTTCCTGATCTATCTTTAGGTTACACACATACACACATACACACACACACAAACTCACATTCAACAAAGAAACATGAAGAGTTAATTGTAAAAACAGGAAACTTTAGACGAGACTGAGGTCTGCAGGAACTTATTTGAAAACCTACCAACTCACAATTCTCTAGTTTAACAGCAGCCTTAGAAATGTTTTATAATATCTCAAGAGTACAATCAGGAAACTTCTCTGTCTGGCAAAAGAGGGATTGTGCATTATTCACCACTTAATGGTCTTTGAATTACAACGTCCTATAATATTAAATCCAAAAGTTTCCTAGCCTCCTTTCACTTAGAAAGAGATTTCTCAAGAATTCTTCAAATGCTTTTATTAAACAAATAATGAATGTATTTGGTAGTTATTTTTCCATCCATCCTTTCTCAGAATGTTAAATCCAACAGGAAAGGACATTGGAAAAAACATCTTCTGCTTAGGATCTTAGTTACTTGACCATCTCTCTTCAAATATAAAACTAAATGGTAAGAATGCACTGTGGTCCCATTGAGAAATCATTACAGAAAGATTTGCCCTGCGAGTCCCCCCCTCCATCACAAGTTACACAACCCATAAACCAGGAGTTCCTGTATCTACCACTATAGGTAGTGATAGACTTGCCCCCAGCTAAGCTCCTTGGGGACAAATACTTTTAAGTACAGATTTGTGGGATAATCACATCCACAAGCTAGTGTAATATAAATGACCCAATCACAGCAATACAGTGGCACCACTATTTAATAATAGGCAAAAAGTAGAAACATCTGAAAAACCTATTGAAAAATTAATGAAGGAATGAAATATCCATACAATGGAATATTTTTTGGCAATAAACAGAATACTAAGAGGTGTTACATCATGAATGATCCTAAAAAGTAATTGAAAATTAGTCACAAGGGATAACATATTGTATGAGTACACTTATACAAGATATGCGTAAGAGACAAAGTTATAGAGACATGAAAATTAGTGACTGCCTAGGGTGTTTAGGAGAAAGGCACAGGGGTTCTTCTGAGAAAATGGAAATACCCTAAAATCAATTTCAGTAATAGGCACACAATTCTGTAAATATATCAAAAATTCACTGAATCGTGAACCTTAAATGGATGAATCATGTGGAATATAAATTATATCGCGATAAGGTTTCCAAAACAAAACAGTACTATTGCCTCATGAATTTTTAAAAATTTTATTATTTTTATTTTATGTGTATGTGTGTATTGCCTGCATGTAGGTAAGTGCACCCGTGTTGTGCAATGCCCACCCAGGCCAGAAGAGGCTGTCGGATCCCCTGGGACTGGAGTTATGGTTGCTAGTTGCCATGTGGGTGCTGGGATTCGAACCCGGGTCTTCTGCAAGAACAACCAGTGTTCTTAACTGCTGAGCCATCTCTCCAGCCCCGCCTCATGAATTTTTAAAAAGATCATCAGCAAATCTACTTTCTAGTTGGGCATGATAGCACATTCCTGTAGCCTCCTGCTACATAGGAGGTTGAGACAGCAAGATCACTTGAGCCCAGAAGTCAATTTAAGGGCAGCTTAGGCAGCATATTAAGGCTTTATCTCAGGAAGGAAAGAAGGGAGGGAGGGAGGAAGGGACAGAGGGAAAGGAGGGAAAGGGAGGGAAGGGGAGGGGAGAGAAAAGAGAAAAGGAGATATCTACTCTGTCATAGACTTTTCAAAGGGCCCCTTGATGTAAGGAGTTAGTTTTCAAACTTAGTAACACAGAAGGTTGTGCTTTTAATTATCCAATACAGTTTTGAAAGAGAAAGATGCCAAAATTAGGCAAGTTGTTTAACTTCTTTGAGCATCAGTTTCCCCACTTCTAAAACGGGCCTTGTGGTTTCATTTCCTACTGCACATTTACTTAGACCAATGAACTTTTAACTCCAACAAGAGATGTCGAAAGAAAGGAGCCTTCCTTTCAGGCCAGGATCAGTCACTGTTCCCAAATGCCTGGATTCTGTGATCCCAAATGAACCACCTCAAATTTACCATAACATTCTACACACACTGCCAGAGTGCCCTTTACTTCTTGTTAGCCAGACAAACTCCTGTTTATCCCTGGAGATTCAAATGTCACCTCTCTGTGAATCATTCTTCTGCCCCAGGGTGAACTGAGCGCTCCATCTTTTTTCAGTGCATATTACCTACGCCCTGTATTTCTATAACCTGCTCTGAATGGCATGTATCTGTCTACAAGCTATTCTCCTAAATGATTCTGTTTTATCTTTGCTCCATGGAGCCTAGACCAGTGTTTTGTAATAGCCTTTCTGTCAATATATCAAAGCATCTTTTTTCAACCAGGATGACCAGTTTAAATTCTTAATAATTAGGCTGAAGCAGGATGATCATGAGATCGAGATCAGTTGTGCCTCTCCTAGAATATTTAGCAAAACCTGTTTCAAAAAATGAAAAAAAAAGAAGGAAGGAAGGAAGGAAGGAAGAAAAACCCTAACAACTGCCAGTTCTGTTAATTAGTTTATTATCTTTCTGTTGCTGTGTCAAAATACCTGAGACAATCAAAGGGAGAAAAAAGGTTA